GTGATGTGGCAGTATGAAAATATCTGAGAAGTTATACAATTAAGAAATTTGACAATCTGGTAAACCGATGAGCTGAAGACTCACCCAGACAAAGGCATTATCCAATGAACATTAATTAAACAGATCGACACTTCTTTATATGTGACAAAAATGATATTTCACGCAAATCGCAACTTGTTGAACAGAATCAGCTTAAATTTTGAGAAGACAGAAAGGAAAAAAAACAAAAGAAAATGACAATACCTTTTTACTTATCCGTATTGTTGATTCACTGTCATCTCTGGAGTCGATTAACTTGAGGCAAAGTGGATAGACCTCCACATTGAACTGCTTTTTGTTAAGAACACCCTGAGAGATCATCTTTCTTGGCAACACTGGTCCTCCTTTGTACCTAAAAGACAGAATGACAGAAATTAAAAATAGGACCAGCGCATAAAGACAAATGATAGTTTAAAAATATAGCCAAAGTGTGTAAGAGAGAGACATTCGAGTTTAAATTTAAACAATTAAGCTCATTCAAAATCTCGCATCCATTCAAAATTCAATCGCTAAATTACTTGATATTAACATAGACACTTTAAACTAAAAATGTTAACACAAGATATTAACATAGACCAAGGCAATACAACATTTTGAGGAAAAAGAAATGAAAAATATAGCCATCATAATTTTCCAAATGTCAAATCCCAAGCCATCAGATGGTGAGACCATAACACTCATATGCCTATGCAATCACTACACTACAAATTTTTGATTCAACCACTGACAACAATAAAGCCTAAGCCATTGGGCAGCAAGACCATAACACATATTGACTCATATCAAGAATCAAGATCCCTGCTTTAGCAATGTGGGATTCAACCACTAACAGTAACAATCAATCCATGTCATCATACTCTTATATTACTGAGCTGTTTATAACCTCCAGAAATGTACCATTTATACATCACTTTTTTCTACATATTTTATCGCATCAAAATTAACGAACTGCCATTTTTATTTTGAATTGGAAAAATCAATTCAAGAAGGAATAGAAATAAGAAAATTCCTTACCACTGGACAAGCTTCTCCCAAACTTTCTTAGGAACTAATACATAGTCCCTTCCTTCCAACAGCGTTCTAGCAAGCTGTAGTTCATCGCCCTCATTACTACTTCCGTACTCGATTATATCAGAGTTATCAATTGGCCCTGGCCTTTCAAAATTCAAATCTTGAGACTTAAAAGATTGCCCATTATCCAAGTTGTCAACATCACCTTGCCCAACATACCTCTCCCATTTCGAGAACCACCTAAAAAGCAAAAGAAAACCCAATTACAATCATGCAAGTCCTTTTATAGACAAAATGACTTCAGTTATTTAAAAGTGAAAAAGAATCACATTATTATGGTAAGCATGCACCAAATCCCTCAGGCAATAACACTGTACATTTATCATATTTAGGCTACCTAACCAGCCTAATTGTGGCCAAATATATCATTTGGTAAAACAGTAACTATGAAAAATGAAAATTTTCAACAAAATCGATCAAAAACAACACATGCAGAAAATGCCAACCAACTTAAATTACCACGCCATGTGCCTTTAAGGCAATAACACAGCGTACACTCCATATCTAGCATGCCTAACTAGCCTAATATAGCTGAACAAATCCATAATTATAAGAGAAAAAGTTAGTTTGTACATTAACCCAATCATTCAAAGAATCTCTTAAATTACATGCCTTGCCCAATCAAGCATACTTGCCATACCTTTCCATAAAATTTGGCAATCATTGCAAAAAGAATCTATTAAAACACATGCAATATTAACCTAATCAACAATAATCAGCAAAATTTCCATGGAACTTATCAAGCACAACACGTACACAAATCTCTTTGAAATTAAGTTAAAAAGATCACTCAATCCACCAAGCCGAGTTCAAAAAAAAAAAAAAAAACACATGCAGGTACAAGAGGCAGAATGTAGCTAGAACTGATTAATCATGGCAAAAAGGGGGTTATTTATTTATTATTATTATTATTATTATTATTATTATTTGGGACGAAGGATAACCCAATTATTCAAAGAATCTGTTAAAACACATTCATTACCTACCCAATCAAGCATAATTGGCAAACATTTGACAGGTGCACAAAAATATCATCCAAATCAAATTAAATTAAGAAAAAGTCCTTGCAGCCATAAGTAGCAAAAAAAGAAATCTACAAAATTCATCAACAACAACACATGTACAAAATCTTGTCCAAATTAAGCTACAAAAAAAAAAACTAAAATTTACACACAAATTTCAAACAAAAAGAAGGGAATATTTAAATCATGCAATTCAAAATCCAATAGAATTAGAATCGAATCACGGAAAGAAACAAAAATAAAGTTCAAAATCACCTCGAAGAAACAACAAAATACAAATTCCCCTCTTTCAAATCACGTTCAGCTTCACGATTCAATTCTTCAACGATCTGTTTCTCTTCTTCAGGCGTACACGGCAAGCAACTTCCTCCTCCTCCTCCATTCTCCATTAAACACCTTGAATCAATCATCGTCATGAGTCTTCTCTTAATCTTCTTAGTCACTCTCTACATTTCAATAATCAAACAGTAAACAGTAATTAACATCTCCAGAAAATCAAAAACAAAAAAGACAGACGAATTCTAATTTTCGATTTGGATTTTACGTACTGTGAATCTCAATTTGGTGGAGATCCAATTACGGATTTGAGAGACAGTAATTTTTTCTTATCGGGAAATTTGAAATTTCGAGAGAGAAGCAAACCCTAGATTTAAGGGTCTGATTTTTTATTACGAAGAGATTATGGATAAAATTATTTATAATAGCAAGCATTTAGAGAGAGAAAGCGAGAGAGAGAGAGAGTGAGAGAGTACCGTCCTTTCAACTATCTTGTTGTCATTTTATAAGTTGAGTCTGCACGGACCGTTTTAAATAGGAAATAAAAATAAAAAACGTAACTGTTGATTAGCTCATTTTGGGTGAAATATATTTCAGTCTATGTAGCTCGGTATTGTTACACTTTAGTTCTCATAGATTGAAATGTTTTCAACATTAACCCTATATTTTTGTGGAATGTTTGCTTTCCCTCATTCTTCTTTTTTTTTTCCCCCTTTCGTTATGACAAAACTTATCTTATCAGTGATCTTTTTCTAAAAAAATCATACATATGATTTTATTTTATTAAAAAAAATAATGATGACTATCGTTGATTTTGTGGTGTTACAACAAACTTACGAAATAATTAATTTATGAATATGAATTAGAATTTATCCACCAAACGATGTTGGTGTACCTCTATTATAAAACCTTTAAAAAAATCTAGACATGAGTATCACTTTTAGTTGATGCTAGTTGTTTAATAAAAAAAGGTCTAAATCGAAACTTTTTTGAAACTCTAAAGTTGATATTGATGAATTCAAAACTATAGAGACCAAAGTGGAATATTGCAAAATTACAGGGATTAGAATACAGTTTACCAAATGATTTCTTTTTTTTTTAAAAAAAAAACTATAATTTCTTGTTGTATTTTTGTTTGTTTTGGATTTCTCGAATTTCTTTTGAAAGTGGTGGGTGGGGTGAGTACAAATCATAAATACTATTTGGCCACGCAATCTATTTTCCTTTATATATATTAGGGTTTTAAATATGGTAAATAACTTTTGGCTGATGTAATAAATAGAATTGATGATTTTTTATTTTGATTTTGAGATTTTATTATGGATTTCTTTTTGTATTTTATGGAGGGTAGAAAAGATAAAAGATTCAACTTAGTCACATGTTAGGGTTAGGCTCTCTTTTTGGCCAAGATGTTTCTAGTAGATGATGCTATGTTGTTTTTCATCCATTTTTCGATGTGGTCTTCAAAAAAAAAAAAAAAGGTCTTTCTTTCTTAGGCTTTAAACGTTCATGAGAATCATGCTTTGGTAGTGTGAACAGCTAGGACACAACTAAACAAACAATAAACCTAGTAAAAATGGAGCTACTAATAAAATATTTGTCTATACTCAAATTTGGAAAGCCTTCCACCAGCTTTTTTGTGGGAAAAAAGTGGTAGTTGCTATTTCCCATCACCTTTTTAAACTGTCCACATCGACACAACTTAGGTGTTAATTTTTAATCTTTCTATCTTGTACAGTATCTTTATCTAAGGAAAAATATTTGGGTTTGGTATATTCTATGTCTAAACAATTAATATATATCAATGGAGTATATTTTTAAGATCGTTCGAAAAAAAAATCCAAAAATACCATTCTTACCATGGAATAAGAAAAAAGAGATTGAAATTTAAGATATCTTGGATCAAACATATAGTCAAATTAACAGGATAAGATGAATAAATTAAGACGGATGGAGCTTTGAACCCCAGAAGTAAACCTCTTTTTCAACCATCTCTTCGCAATAAGACAAATTTTTGGGTTAAAAGGGAAGAGGGAGGCGAATTACATGCCATGGAATGAATATGCGAGTAGAACAGAATCAAGAAACAGGAGACTTGACAAGAAGAACAGAATGATTCGCAGCTTCACAAATCAAGCAAACCTCGGTGTTACTTATGGTTGTCAATACATGAGATCCAAAGGATTCTTTGCACCTAAGAAAACCTGGTGTTGTTCTACAGAAGCTTACAAGCCAGCTGCTTCTTTCTGAAATTTTCAGAATCTACCCTAACGGAATGGCTGCTACGCCTCTACACAAAAAAGATGGCCTCTTTTAACATATTGCTACAAAAGCTACAACATTTCATATGCACACTAGTATTACAAGTTTGGCTCCAGCCTCCATCTTGCACCTGCACATTGGAGGCCAGGACAGTTAATGACCTATTGCAACTTGGTAAGTTTGCACATGGATCCGTTCACAAAATTACAAAGGATTCTGAGGCATCCTCTAAAACTAAATGACGGCGATAGAAGCTGCACAATATTAACTCCATCTGGCGGATGGAGGACTTGGCTGAAACCAAGAAGCAGCTGCAGTAAGGAGTCACTGTTATGAGGTTTCTGTATCGTCTGAGCTAGCTGTGGCCTCACTTCCAGCCGCACCTGCTCCACTGTCTTGACTCTCGTCCTCACTAAACAAAGTCTCATTACTTGAATTAGAAAATAGACCACTATCATCATCAGTGAGCATATCAGCCTTCCGTCGTTTCCTGACATCCTTTATACGTCTTCCTTCCAGCGCCAGTCGCCTTCGTTTCCTAGCTTTGCGCTTGCCCTTGGGAACCTCTTCTCTTTGTGACTCAAGGCTTTTGCTTTCTCCTCCTTTTGCAGTTATTACCTTGCCATAGTCATTATCTTCTGATTCGTCGGGATCAAACTTGCGCCTTTTTCTACTTGAATTTGTCTGGTACAGAATGATCAAAACCCAGACTTAATTGATGATTAGGAAGTACAGCTAATCCAAGTGCACTAAATTATTAAAAAAAAAAAAAAGGGGAAGATCCATTAAATCCTACTTGTAATTTGTATATGATAATTAAATGAAAGTAGCAGAACCAGTTTTTAAAGCCATCCAGTTGCTTTATTTCCCTAATTGGCTTTTTTTTAAAAAAAATATATATATATATTCTTGTTTGGATATGCAACACCATCGGTATTGCTCAAACAACCAGAGTTGGCCACAAACAAAGTCAAGTAAGAGCCTTCCCAATACCACTTGGGCACTAGGATTGCCCAGTCGAAAAGATCAAGCCACCAAGGATGGAAATAACTGAAATACATGCACTGATTGTAAAAAGGAATGCATCCCTAAATATCTACATTTACAGTTCACAAAAGCACGCATCTAGTTCGGTCAAAATCATCTTAAGCATGGGTTGACGGCATACTTTTATAATTGAGCAGCTAGCATCTGTGACTTTGCACAGCAAAACACTGTTTTGCATGGAAAAATAAAGGGAAAAAAAACCAACAGTTTATGTGTACCTTGGGACCACGATCCACCAACCGAGCCCATTCATGCCGGTTCCTCAGGCAATCAAGAACAGCCTGAGAAGGACTTGAATATGCATAGCGTTCTCCATTATGCTTCCTCAAGTTATGCCAGTGCTGCAAATAGAATCACGATCAGTGAAGGAGATCTACTTTGTTTCACTCGTAATCAAAATTGCACGAAAAGGAACTTGCAGAAAATAACAAGCACTTGATTAAACAAAAGAAACCATACCGGTAAGACAGCATTACAGAGTTCCTCGTATGTCATGCGCCTGCCTTTACTCATGATCTCGTTAATTAAACCTATGGATGGCAAAAGGAAAATGAATATTAAGTTATTAACTGAGCAACCAAAACGAAACAGCCGCATATATTGTTATCCTTTCCTTTTGGCCCTGAATTGACACAGAATTTAAATACCAGAGATATAGCCTACCTGGTAGAGTGCGATAAACAGGAGCCCGAACAGTGCCTGTCTCCTCATCAGAAATATTCCTTGGTGAATTACGTCTAGATGACAAATGATGATCATTAACCTCAGTAGAGGAAGACGGGCCACTGTTTGCAGTTGATGTGGAGGCAGGAGGGATGTTGTTCTTGACAGAATGTACAGCTATCGGAGATCCACTATCCCCTCTCTTCGACACTGAGTCAACTTTATATCCTGTATCTTGTCTCCTCTGATCAGAAGAAGATGGTCTGTCAGTCTTTTTAGCCTCATCATCAGGCTCCTGATAACGGCGAAACCCATCTTTTGATGTATCCTTACCTTTTCTTCTAGAAGCCTGAACAATGATGAATTGCAGATCATTTTCAAGCACCACCACAGTAACCTATGTTCAAAAAGAAATACTAAAGAAAAATGATCTTGTTGTGGAATTACATCTTACCAAGCTATGATCTTTTGCTCCGGAACTAGATGAGCGCTTCATCAGCACACTTGTTGCAGTTGGAGAAGCTGAATGTGGTAAACCAGCTGCATGGCGAACACGTGGAACGCGAGGTACTCTAGGAGAGCTATTGAGTTCTTGATGTAAAAGCAAAGCAAGCTGTCATAAAAAAAATATCAAATGTGTAAACTAGATGAAAAAGAAAATGAGAACAAAATAAACCATATTTAGAAGAAACTGCAGTTTGTTTTCACCTCTTCATCGCTTAAAGCCGCAGGAGAATTGGTAGGTGCAGAAGTATTCATTGTTAATGCATGACTTGTCTTAGATGATGACTGGCCATTAGACTGATTAAACTTTTCAGCTCTTAGGGGTAAACCTGATGCTGGTATCTTATTTTGTGCATGTGAACCACTCTCAAGTTGCAGTGATCCAACAGTATCACCAGGATTCTGTGCCAAAGACGCTTTAGAGGATGAGTAAAGCATGGAATCTTTTGAATCTGAAATGGTTCTCTTGGGAACAGATGAATGTGAAATCTTGCTTGAGCTCAACACTTTTGAAGCAGAATTCACAGAGGATTTAGGACACTCTGTTACTATTTTTCTTGACATCTCGTGCCTTTCTTCTTCTGTCACTATCTCGTTTGTAGCTTGATCTTTCTTAATGCTAGAATTGCAATCAGGCATAACTTGTTTCTTAGTATTAGAACTAAAATTCAAAGTATCTGAAGATCCAAGATTTTCAGATGCAGAAATTTTGGATATTATCATGGTGGCTGAAGTAGAAGATGATTTTCCAACACAGACAACCATTTTATGCTGATTGGGTAGTGCTTGAGAGCTTGAGATAGTTTCACCTGATTTTGACAGTTCTTCAGCAGTCTCTGCACCATTTTTGGGTTCTGGAGGACATTGTTGCATCTCCATTGATCCTTCAGATCTTTCCAGTTCTCGTTTATGCTGACGAGGATTATCAGATAATTCATTAGCTTTATCCATGTGACAAAGAGGAACTGCTTCCAAATTTCTGTCAAACTCTTGAACCTTATGGTCATTGGATGAACCACCTAATGCTGCATCATTCATTTTTGGATTTTCAGATATGTTACCATAAGATATCCTTGCATCTTTTGTGTCACCATGAGAAGACTGACGATTCAAGAACCCCTTAGAGTTATCATCATCCACTTCTACTTTAACATTAGGTTGTGCAGAACTTGGAATTGCGTCACTGTTAGCATTAATCTGACTGCCCTTAACTTCTGGTGAAGCACTGGCTGGCTCATCAACTACAGGTGCATCTCTTCTAGTGGAACCCTCCATTTTATCATCTAAATTTCCACTCAGCATGTTATTGCCCTATAGCAAGCACAGGCAAAGTCATTCGAACACAGCAATTGAAGGCTAAAAGCAAAGAATGGATGTACAATTACACCCAAAAAAAGTGCTTTGCTATAGTTAAATGTAAAAGTCAAACAATGAAGGCACAAGGAGGAACCACCCTATTGTAGAACAAGAGAAACTTCTAATATGCATATCTAACAGATGAAGTAATCTATTAATTTAAGAACTCAAAAAAAAATATAAGCTGTCAAAATGTATAGTTCAAATTCGGGGTTTGCTGGGGCAGGAGGGCAGTAGCATGATGCTAATAAGGGGTTCCAGTGAAGCTTGGATGGTGTACTGCTCTCAGAGCTGAAACGTGGGCATTTCATGCGGGTTTGCAGGAGGTTTGGGATAGAGGCTATCATTGCATTTTGTTGGACTTGGATTCAAAGATGGAGTTTGGTGTGCTTGAAACTCAATGTTGCAACTCAGTCCTGCTCAAGGCTCATCATGGCCAGGTAATGGATACACTGTTAAGAGTTTCAACTGGAAACTTAGGCATGTTATGCATGGTGGAATAGTTGTGCAGCTTTTTTATTTAACATTGGGTTTGAGGGAGATGTAATTCATTTTAGTTTTGAGGATCTGCCTGAAGGAACGGGGCCTCTGTTGTTTGAAGATTTAAACAAGGAGGGCTGTTCCCCTAGTTCAGTTCCAGAGTTTAGGTGCCCGGGCCCAATTTTCATACAAAAAGTAAAAAAGCAAAGACCCCAAAAATTCTTCAAAAGAGACACACTTACTTCCATAAACCATCATAAAAAAAAGAAAAAAAGAAAAAAAGAAAAAAAAACGTGTGTGTAATTCATATTATAAATTACAATTAAAACCATAATAGAAGCATTATTATAAGAGAAAAAGAATTTCTAAAAATTATAGCATAAAGATGGTATGCACTGCCTATCTTGAAAGAAGAGAAAAATTTTAACGGTAGTTCAAATCATTAGTTAGGTATTTTCTGGTCAGAACTCGGCGTTTGCTAGATTCCATATATTGCCATCTCTCATTCCATGTCAAGAGATTCTAATCTATCATCACTTACAAAGGTCATTCTTGGCTTTATTCTAGTAGTATTGTTTGTTTTGTCAATTAGTAATCTACAAGCACTCTCCCAATAACCATCATTGAGGGACAAAACACAGTACCATCCCAAGCAAAACCGAAAAGAAGGAAGACAGAGAGCAAGGTCTACCTCTTGTTTTGCAGGCATTCTCCCACAATCATTGTGTTCTGGTGCTGATGCTGCTACATTAAACTCTTTGGGAGAACTTTTAACCGCAACCAGAACTTCATGGCTAGACTTCTCTTCCTTCAATCCAGCTCCAGTTGAAGAATCAGGTCTAGACACGTCAGGTGATAATGCTTCTAAGGACTGCTCAACCACTACTAAGCCATTCTTGGGCTTCTCAACACCATTTTCTACTGCTATATAACTATCTGATTTCTGTTCTTGAATACTTGAGTCCCTTAAGTTCTTGTTCTTAATAGTCTGAAGTTCACTCTTGAAGGACTTCGGAGCTTTGTCCTCAGCAAATTCCAGGGGTTTTGCATCACTGGTGGATGTAAATGCTAGTAATAAGAATAAAAACAAGAAAGAATTGGCGTCAACAAGTGTGTGTCTACTGCTACAAGATGTGACCCAATGCCTAAACTTCATGCCATTACTGTGAAATATGGGCGCACTTGGGCAGCGAGAAAAAGAGACACAGATAATTCAATTAGGAAGCAAAGCAAAGCAAGGTATATCCAATCACCTGTTTTAGAAGTATGAAAAATCCTCTTCCTTGCCTCCAACTCCTTCTCTGCAGTTCGAGCCCTCTTCTTTACACTCCGATCTTTGGCCATCCCAAGATCTTCTTTCCTCCGCTTACCAGAATGCACCACAACTGGCCTGAGTGCACTTCTCTCCCTTCTCACAGCAAAATTAGCACCCCTAACTTCTCCATCCTCACTCTGCCACTTCTTCATCTCTCTCGAATACACTTTCGCCTCATAACCACCACCCTCATCCCTCTCTCTTGTGCCATCCAAATCTGTCACTGGCATCCCAAATGCACTCTCCTTTGACAATGAAAACAGAACCCCCGCACCCTTATCAACCATATTCTCATTATCATTCTCCTCTTCACTCATGTTCTCCACCTTCGTCTCCTTCTCATCCCAGCAAGGAAACTCCCTATACTGAAAACTAAATTTCTTCGGAACATATCCAGTACACTTCCACAACTCTGGCCTAAAAACTTTCGAATACCCACTAAACAAAGCAGGATCCCCACCCGGAATCCCCTGCACATGAACTCTTTCCTCCATCGGTATTTCAGTCCACAACCTCAACCCTTTCCTCGGCGGACCCACATTCCCTCCACCACCCCCACTATTCTCTAACCTAATTGTTTTCGTCGGCAATTCAACTAATAACTGTGCCACCTCAGTCTCCTCGCTATCATCATTATTACTACTGTTACCCCTTTTCTTCCTCTTCTTACATTTATCACAAGTAAACAATTCTTCACCCTTAACATACTTCGAACAGCGCGTGTGCACCCACACGCCGCAATCATCACAATTCACCATTTCCTCTCCATCATCAAAGTTTACACCACACACACAATCTACGGTCCATGACCCATCCACCCAGTCCTCGTGTGAGTCATACTGGTGGTGGGTCTGGAGCCGGTGCGATCGGCCCCCCTTCATATTTTTTTTATGCCCTAACCACCCCAACAAAAAAAAACCCTAACCCTAGCCCTAACTTTAAAAAATCTAATCACATGGTAAATTTAAGAAAAACAGGGAGAACTTGCCTGGGGAATTCGTCGGACGTTGAATCTCCGATTGAAGCTGCCTTTTTGAGGATGTCTTTGAAAGAATTTGGGAAAATTCAGGGTTTTTAAGGATTTTTTTTTTAGCGAGCGATCTGTCTGTGTGAGCACGGGGAAGAAATGGGTTCTTCTTCCGGTTTTTGTTTTTGTTTTTGGTTTTTTTTTTTTTTTCGTTTATTTTTTTCGGAGTGCACGAATGCGGAACTGTGGAAGAGAAGAAATGGATTTTAAGGATGTGTGTTTTGTTTATTTGGCGTCCGGATTTTTATTTTTTTCAGACAAGAGTGGGTTTCATAGGATGGGCTTCCCTGAGGATGTTTTGGGCTGGACTTGGGCTATTGAGAATGGGTAATAAGGATTTTTAGCCCCTTTTTCTTTTATGAAGTCCACGGTTTGAACTTTGACCAGTTTTTTTAATTGATTTGGGACTTTAACAGGATTTGGAAAATTTTAAAGTTGACTGTTGAATTTTTTTTAATTACGAAAATAGGAGAAAAAATTCAAAATTATGTTATTTGACTTAATCAATTCTCAAATTATGCGTAAGTGCGTTGTTTATAAAAATTCTTAGAAAGAAACTACTATAAATCTTGGCATTTTCTAGTTTGATCTTCTTCCATCCTTTTATATGTGAGGAAATATGAACATCTTGTTAATTCTTTTAGTTGAGAATAAATATTTTTAATAAGACTTTTTTTTTATCTATTTTCATGTATTTTTACACGAATTTTAGTTATCAATGACAATGGCATGTATTTTGAGGTGGGAAATGCATTCTACTCTCGCATCTTATGTTTATTTTTGGTGGAATGACAATTATCAAACAAAAAAATTAAGCCATTGGAAATAAATAAATATTTTTTTACATTCATCTTCATAAAAAAAAATTGAGAAAATAGTTTAGCATGTTTTTATGTAATTGGACAAATGTCTAATTTGTCTTTATATTTTAAAATAAGCTAATTATGTTTTGTATATTAAGTGAATTTTTAATCTATCATTCTAACAATATTTTATGACAAAATTATTAAAAAATATCACGTGATTTATACACAATTAATTTTATATTGAAAATACGCTTTAATTGAATGAGTATTGTGCAAATCACTCGTCTATCATCACCTTCTTTTTCATATTGTTCGGATCAAGGACAAGTACCATACTTGTTTTACGGGTGAAAAATGACAAGTTTGTGGTGTTAAATTTAGATTTTGATGATTAAAAGGTATCCGAGATGGTTAGTGGCTAAAAAATGAAAACAAAAGCATTACATAGTAACGGGTTTGATGGTAGATGACGACTTAGGACTTGATATTAGCTTACGGAAGATGAGGAGAAGGTGGAAAATATCTTATTTAATGTTAGGTCTTGATTTTATGTGAAATATGAAGGTTTTGAATAGAAAAGGTAGAATTTTTGGAAGTGATTGAGAAAGCAACAAGATTGATTGTTTTGAAATGATCTTGACTATATTTTAAAAGGAGAAGAAAAGGAGAGGAATAAGGCATGAGAGGGGAAAAGAAGGAGGAAAAAAAAAGGGAAGAAAAAAAATGAGTTTAGTGTTTTTCTTTCACCGAATTCCGTCCAATACGAGAGAGATAGTGATGATAGGATGGTAACTTACACATATCCATCTAGTTTAAGGATATTTTTGAAATAAAATCTATCATGTGAAAATCAAGTGATATATTATGATAATTTTGTTAAAAAATAAAAATAATAAATTAGACATTAATTTATAATACAAAACTATAACCAATTAATTTTACGATATAAAACACGCATTGAACTCTTATCTCATCGTATAGGAACACACCAAATCATTTTATGTTATAAAATTGAGTTAATATCATTATCTGTATTTATATAATATGCCAATTTTTCAACATGCCTTTTATATATATATATATATATATATATATATATATATAATCTTTAACATGTCCTTATATTTTGAATTGATTTTAAATTTATTATTTTAATTAAAATTTTCATCAAAACTGAGTATGCCAATTGATAGAAATAGAAAGCACATCAAATAATCAATATGGCTTTTCCTTAAAGCCCATGCCTATACAGCTAGATGGTTCCATTGCATGAATTTCCTCAAAAATTCCCCTTTTTTTATCAACCAACGATTTTGTTTCATTCTTATATTCTTACACGTTGGAGAGTTAAAAATAAAAATAAATAAATAAAACCCTAAAAGAATTATAAAAAAAGAGGAAAAAGTAAAGAAAATCTCCTAGGGATACGATGCCAGGAGACAAGACAAGCTGTCATTTGTTGCTTCAAATTTCTAAAACACCCTCTACTTCTTTCATAGCCAGCTACCGGTCGCTTTTGCATTAGCCACCAAACAAGTACGGAGCTCAGCCACCTACCCGGCTACGCCGCAGGAAGCAGTAACTCTACACGGTAAGAGGTTCAAAAGACAGTGAAAGGTAAATGCAGATGGGATGACAATTTACCTCGTCCTAACGGAACCCTCTCTTCTTCGCCATGGTCAACGTAAGAATTCTTCGAATTGATTGAAGAACCGGATAGGGCATCCCGCCATGTAGTAATTTTGAATGAAGATGGAGCCAGGATGCTATTTGTTCGCCTCGCCCACATCTTTTTCATTGAAAATTAAAATTATACCTAACAAATATATAAACTCTAACGCTATAAACTAGTCTCTAATATAATGAGTGGTTTTTTATAATTTCTAAGCAATAAAGACATGAATGAATTTATATTTTTAATTGCATTTATGATATTTTATTAATTTAATTAATTATGTTATTTATTTGATTGAAAATAATTTAATATATTATGAGTTTTGTCAGCTCTCGCTCGCCCTGTCTCGCCCTTTTCTTTAGAAATTACAATTATACCCAATATATAAATAAACTTTGACGTTACAAACTAACCTCCAATATAATGAGTGAGTTTTGATATTTTTTAAGCAATAAAGACATGTAAGAATTTGTGTTTTTAATTACATTTACGATACTTCATCAACTTAATTAAATATATTATTTATTCGATTGAAAATAATTTATTATATTATAAGTTTTGTCCGCTTTGCTCGCCTAGACCTCGTCCTTTCTTTTAGAGATTACAATTGTATATGTATCTATATATATTATGAGGCTACAAACTAGCTTTTAATATAATGAGTGGGTTTTAATAATTTCTAAACGATAAAGACATGTAAGCATTTATGTTTTTAATTGTATTTGTGATACTTCATCAACTTAATTAAGTATATTATTTATTCGATTAAAAATAATCTAATATTATGAGTCATGTTGTAAAATTTGTAGTTAAATATGCTATTAAATTATCTTGATTATATTTTTTATATGAATTTTTTATTTTATAGTTTAAAATTTAATATAAGATAATACGAAAAAAAAAAAGTTTTAATAAAAAATTAGGTGGATATGCCCGTCCCATCCCGCGCGGGGCACGGGGCGGCCGCTGCCATTGCCATTCCTAAATGCAGATGGTACCATATTTGCCATTCATCCATCACTGTATGCCACGTGTACATTCTTTACCATGGTTGCATTAACTACAAATCAGTTCCCAAACCATGCTGTAAATTTCAAAACACTCTCGTAGTTCTACATTTCTTGCAACCTCACGGTCCAACTACCCATGAGGCCATGAGCTATAACATTATTTTTTTTCCCATCATCTCATTTTCATTAACAAATAGCAAAAGAAAGTGAACAAGCCCTTTGCTGTAAATACATTTTTACAATCCAATTGTTAGTGATGTAATAATAATAATTTTTTTAACAGAATTTATCAATTAATAATAGAAAAATTGGTAAATCCATCATTATAAATATGAACAATATCGTATATAACGAATTAATCAATATGAATAATTCATGAACACTTACAATAATATAATTATAATCACATGTGATTTTTTATTATTTTGTTACATTAAGTATTCGTTAATTTGTTTTTTTGTAAAACTTATCATTTTTTTTTATAAATATAAGAACACTTGACATTACTTAATGCATGACATATCAATGTACATTTAATTTTTTTCTACAATATCGATTCCTTTAAAAACAAAATTTAGTAAAAAAAAAAAAAAAAACAAGTTCTAATATTTAAGTCCCTAGTCGCATTCTACCAACTACATAATGAGCAAATACATCTTGAAAGTTAAAAATTGATCTAGTTTTCTTAAAAAAAAAAAAATATTTAATGACTAGATTATATTGATATATATTATTGAAGTTTATCATAAAATATTATTATTTCTTAATACTTTAAGAAAATGCTAATATTGAAATTAATTACTTCATCGGTTTCAAAAAGATCATCTATCTTTTTATTTATATCTGTTTCAAAATGTTTGTTTATTTAAAATTTTAAGCAATATATTTTTTTAAAAAATCCTAATTAAAGTCCATTTTATAAAATGCTATCCAAGTATAATTTTTTAAAATATTTTAAAAAATATAAACAAAATGTAATGATATGATATAATAATTAATAATTTTCTTAATTTATGTGAAAAATCATAGAATATGCTTTTTTAAGACGAAAGAAATAGATAGTATTATAAAAAGATTTATTGGTCGACTTTATTTACATATAATAAAATAAAGTTTAAAACAGTTAAAAATATGATATTAACCAACCAAATCAACAAATTCAGCAATTTTTTCTTTCTGTAAAACAAAATTTAACTATAGACTCGAATAGATTAACCACAGCCTAAAAATAGTAAGATTGATAAAAGTTTTAGCTTTAGAACTGACTTCAAACATATATCAAAAATGGATGACTGATTTGTCGTTAGCATCAAACAAACAACAAAGGTACTTTAAAAGGGATGTACATACATACACCTATGTAGTATAAGCAACTAAGCATAGACTGACAGACTTTAGGTGTGCAAAACAAAACAAAGAAGGAAGGAAGGAAAGACCAGACTTCATCCATCAAAATCTCTCCTTCACTCGCCATTTCAAGGCCAGAATGCGAAGAAAACCAGATCCAAGAAACCAATAAATCCAAAGACAGTACAACAAGAAAAAACAGACAACATCAACCACCACTGCAAGGAATTAAAAAGTTTGCTTCTTTATTATTATTTTTTTGTAAAGTTTTAATTTTTATTACACTTTGTTGCTGTCTCTATGATTTTTTTTTTTTTTGTTAATTGTTTTTTGTTTTCTCCATAGTGATTTTTGATGTGGGTTTTGTTTGTTTTAGCTTGGCCTTGAGTCTTTGTATTTTTTTAGCACTAAAAATGGTTTTTGTCCCCTCGTGTTTTGTAGCTGATTTTGAGGTTTGTTAGAGGCGAAAATTATGGCTGTTGGAGAGAATGCTAGTGCTGATTTGGGAAATATTAGTGTGGACTCAAGTGTATCATCATCATCAAATGATCAGGATCATCACAATCACAACAACAATGTTCTGATTCAGTACATGAAGGTTTCCCAGGTGGGTCATCACCATAATCATCATCATCGGCAGAGATCAAATGGCGGGGAGAGTTACAAGAGGGAGATGAGAGATTTGCAGGAGTTGTTCTCTAAGTTAAACCCCATGGCTGCTGAGTTTGTGCCTCCTTCACTTTCCCACGAGACCAGTTTTGGTACAGCTAATGGGCTTGATGGACTCATTGGAGTTAATGGGGGGTTTTATGGCAGCAACAACAACAACAACTTGATCGTAAATGGAAATGGCTTCGACAGAAATGGACAAGTTAATGGAGATGCTGCTAGAAGAGTAAAAAACGACTCTACTTTTTTAGTTGATTAAATAAATTATTTTTATTATAAACTTTAAGAAGAGAAAAAGTGAGTGGAATTTTGAATGCGTTTTTGGTGTTGTGTTGGGTTTATTGAATTGACAAGGTTTTGTTGAACTAGGACAGGACCGAGTTGTGTGTGAGTCTAAGTTTTGAAAATGGTCGAACGTTGTGGTTCAAACGCTTGTTCTATGTTGGTTTTTATTTGTTTAGATAGTTCTTTTTTGGTTGCTTGGATTGCATACTTTGACCGTGAAATAAGGAGTTGGAAACTTGTGTTTTGTGGTGTTGGGATTATTTGAAGTGAAAAAAGCAAACAGAACTGATCTGATCATTCTCTATGGTTAAGTTGAGTGAAGTTTTTGTTCACGTGTGCCTAACAATGGTCAAACTAAAATAAGAACTTTAATGAGCATTTTTATTTGATTTTAACGAGCTTTTATTATCCCTTCAGGTTAATGAATTTCAATGGGCTTTAATTTACTATCTAAGAATTCTACTATTTGTTAATGGGTATTTTTGCTCATTTCAGAAGAAAAGTTATGGTCAAGTAAAGCGTAGAATTAGTAGCAGGACAAGCATGGCTCAACGGGAGGATACAGTTCGCAGGACTGTGTATGTCTCTGACATTGATCAACAGGTATATACTTCTGTGTGATTGTTATTACTTATTTTGATTTCTATGGTGGTTTCTGTCTGCATCATATATGTGTATTAACTACTGATTTATTGGCTCGTTTCATTGAATTAGGTCACTGAGGAGCAACTAGCAGCGCTATTTATTAATTGTGGACAGGTAATGGTAATCTAGCTGCTTGTCTAGACAGCTTTCATAGAACTGTTCTTTTGAGCAAGCTCTCATGTGCAGGTTGTGGACTGTCGTATCTGTGGTGATCCCAATTCTGTACTTCGTTTTGCATTTATTGAGTTCACTGATGCGGGTAATGTAAATTATGTCCTACAAGTCTACAACGATTCAATGCCTACCTAAGGATTTCATTGTGTGTGTGTGGGTGGGTGGGTGGGTGGGTTGGGGGGGGGGTTGGGTTGGGGTATGGGGATTATATGCTTATTCACTTTTTGGTGGTTGTTTACACAGAAGGTGCACAGGCTGCCTTGAGTCTGTCTGGGACGATGCTTGGATACTACCCTGTGAAAGTGCTGCCCTCCAAAACAGCTATTGCACCAGTTAATCCAACCTTTTTGCCCAGGGTGAGAATACTTCGCTATATGGCCATTGAATCATGCCAAATTTCTGACAATAAGCCTCTGTGTGCTAGTTTGATTCTATATTCCCTGCTGATCAATCGGTACTTTGGATTTTAGAATGATGATGAACGTGAAATGTGCGCAAGAACTATCTACTGTACAAATATTGATAGGAATGTGAGTATTTGGATTATTGATCATAAAACATAACCTTTTTTTTTTCTGTGACTATTACTGTAGTTGATGTTCATTTCAGAGTCTAATACAATTAACATTCTGCAGTTTACTCAAGCAGATATTAAACTCTTTTTTGAATCACTCTGTGGAGAGGTTTGTTATTACACCTTGTCAACTTGAAAGTTCCTTTTCTTCTGGATGTTACAACATTATTTATTTATTTATTTTTATGGTTTGGCTTGTCTTACGCAGGTGTATCGCCTGAGGCTGCTAGGAGATCATCATCATCCTACTCGTATTGCTTTTGTGGAGTTTGTGATGGTAACTGCTTCATTCTTATTATTTCTAATGCTGAACTTCACTGTCTTTCAACATCAAACAAATGTAGCTGGAGTTTAGGGAAGTACTTGGCAAGGTAATAAAGGATTCTAGGGGACAAGGTTCTTTCAAAGAGGGACTCTATGCTCTTGCAGATTCTGAAAAGGACATAGGACTATTTATAAGTGATGAAGTGGTGTCAAGTGTCAACTTTTGGAGACAGTTGGGTTTAGGATTTTTTTTTTACTGATTTTCCTTGGAACCATCATTTTTTCAAGTGCCAGAGGATTTAAAATGAGACTTAAGGCTGTTCCTTTGACTTTGGCACCCATCTAGCCCACAATGGGAGGCCAAGGTTCTTATTGCTATTAGCACTTTAATCCCTGTGATGGTCAAAAGCTCTGAGCACAGAAAGAGCTGACAAATCTGTTGAACTTTCTAGATATATGTAATGTAGCTTCATCATTAAGAAGTTTTCCTGACGCAATAACAAACTTGTTCACATGGGTTGGCATTTATTTAATTTTTGGTTTTCGTAACTGCCAAGATGGGCATGCATTGGAGTGAAATCACATAAATTTGTTATATCATGCGTTTTACGCTTAGGCTATGCCATGGTAGTATACTTTATCAGTGATAGTTGATAATTTTGTGCTATTCACATATTTATGCTATTGTAAATTGCTTGACAATTGTAATTATGAATTGTAATCAACTTTTGAGTTGTAATTTGGATGGCCATTATGATGGATAAAAGGCATCGTGCTGGATAGACTCTAATGCAATTTAGGAAGGGAGTTCTTTTCAGTAAATCAAGAGAAGTTACAGACCTAGGAATGACCTGGAGCTTCTAAATGAAACAAACAGAAACAAAATATAGGCCTGTAAATGAATAACTACCATTGACCCCTCTAATTTGGGATTTAGCGGATGTCCAATAACCTATCTAAGATGGATCTTTGACCTGATGGTGCAGCCACACTCAACAAACCTAGGTTATCTATGCCTAATAACATCTATATACTGGCTAGGTTTGTTCATCAGATAAGAAGATTACTGGAATGGCTTCTAGAAATATCCTTCAGTCTTAAGGATTATTAAGGAAGAAACAGTAAAGTTTTTGTTTATTTCTTTTATGATTGTCATTTCTAATGAAACATCATTATTTGAGTGATATGCATTTTGGATTACTTACTATCAACGAGTACATCTCAGAATCCCTGCTCCATGAGATGTTTTAAACTTTTGTTTCAGACTTTTTAATTCAGAGATGTTCTTTCTAATTATAAACTACTTCGATCTTTTATGAATGGTCTCAATGAACCAAAACCAGATGGAATTAAGATGTTGTATAAGTGATCCCATTATATAGATCTCATAAAAATCAACTTTGGACATAAAACTAGATAATCAGGCTAATTATGATCAAGTAGTTTATATAAGTTAGCCCCCTATAAATCATCACTGTTTAGTGACACTAATGTTATGTGTTAACAAGCTGCATGGATGACTAATTGGTTGTGTGGTCCGTGTTTCTAGTAGATACTATCGACCGTCTGTTTGTACAGGCAGTATTGCGATCTGAACTTGTTGGGGTTTAGTTGATTTTTTTCTCTTCACCGTTCAAATGAAAAATACTTTCCTTATGGGGTGTGGTTTCAATGTAAACCCTTCCACTATCGCTCTAACTTGATCAGGTTTTATGTTGGTCTGTATAAAAGCTATCAGGAACCAACATTTTCCGACTGTTTCTTATGACATTACATTATACTTCTGCTCTGTGATTATCAAACCCGTGTTGTTACACTGACCATCATAAAGGCATGTAGCTACATCTCTCATTAGTGACTCTAGAAATGTATCCAACGTACTGGACTTGTACACGAAGATCTTATTAGTTAACACGGTATTTACTCTGAAATTCTTGGATGTATTGGGTAATCTTTAATGGAAGTTGTTACCATAGTTGGGACCCCTTTATGGCCCTTGAAAATGATTGTTGATGCCCTGATTTGCCATGGTATGTGCTAGCGTTTGCTGACATGCATGTTTAAAATGCATTATCATCTTATAAGCTGGGAAGATTTCTTCTCAACTTTCAACTAACACAGATGATACTTTTAGTTAACATGGTATTTATTTTGAAATTCTTGGATGTATGGGGTAATTAGTAATGGAAGTTGTTAGCATAGTTGGGACCCCTTTACAGCCCATGAAAGTGATTGTTGATGCCCTGATTTGCCATGTCATGTGCTAGTGTTTGCAGACATGCATGTTTAAATTGCATTATCATCTGATAAGCTGGGAAGATTTCTTCTAAACTTTCAACTAACTCAAACGATACTTTTAGCGAGTGAAGTGGTAGTGGTGCTTCCTGTTGTTTTAAGATGGTTCCAGAATGTTTTTTGCGAGTACATTTACATGTGCATTTTTCTGTTATAACATACATAGTGATATGTTTTGCACTGTTTCTTTTCTTATCTTCTGCCTCTCTATGCTTGCAGGCTAAGATATTATTCAGTGTCAGAATATTTTCATGTTTTATTAGTTATATGCAAGCTCATTTTGTGCTTCTGTAAATTGGTAATCTGTATGAATGAATCTGTAATGTAATTACTCTTTCCTCCTCTACAGGCTGAGAGCGCAATAGCTGCTCTCAATTGTAGTGGTGTGGTTCTGGGTTCGTTGCCGATAAGGTCAGATTGCAAGCTGTTCCACTTCCCCCGAGAATTCTGAATTTCTTATGACTGAAGAACTGATAAATGCTTTGGTTAACCTTTGGTGTTTCTGTTTTCAGGGTGAGCCCATCAAAGACACCTGTGCGGCCACGCGGTCCTCGTGTTTCTGTGCTTTGAAGTGCTTGGTGCTCCCACCGACTTTAAAGCCAGCTTTTATATATTTAGCAACATACATACACCAATGTAAAGATGTTCCCCTTGTTTGTATACCTTCATGGCTCCCTCCTGTTGTCCTTTGCCTTAAATTTTTATTATCATAGGAGTTATCTTTTGGTTATTCAAGCAATATATAGAGTTGGATGGAACTTCGAGGCTCTAGAGATGTAATGTATTATTCCTCTCTATTGCGGATTGGACTCACCTGAAGTTTGAACTTCCCGGAGCAGTTTCTGATACTCGTGAACTTCTCTGAACATTTTCTGAAATTTAGACCTAATTTTATGAAAAATGGAATGGTTCTTGTAAAGGTTTGGGCTTTTAATTCGGTTCCAATTTCACCTAGTTGATATTTGAAATGGCTCTTTTCAGTTGATTGGGTTCATGTGGTATTTGTGCTTCAAATATTTCAGTTCTTTTTTTCAAAATTTTCTTCTGCCTTATGTTATCTCTTACAGTTGAAGAATTTTTAATGCTGGATGTATTTGTTCATATGATTTCTCTAGATGTTGCCATGTTATTCCAATAGTTATTTTAGAGGGTGGCAAGACCTGATAACCATGAGGATTGTAGTTTTGCTGCCCAGACATAGAATCACAACTTAAACGGTGGTATTATTGTCTGAAATTGGTGAATGAATTACAATTTTCTTCTGTATGTATGTACATTACAAATGTTCAGAAAGAATAACTTGCTCCCCAGTGTACTTCATTTTGCCTTCAAGTGCTTGCCTGCTAGACCTCAAATGTGCAGAAGACATCTCAATGCCTTCCCATCACTGAGCAACTTGAACGCTTCGTTTATCTTCTCAAACGGAAGTTCATGTGTGATGAACTCATCTAGATTCACATCCTGGAAGCAAAGTCAAGGATGCTCGTAATGAAATTCCATGATTTTGATATCTTCGAAGTTCTGCGTATAAACTACTTGCTTGCTAATGAACTCATAAAAACATTTATAAAGGAGAATTTTGTGTTAAACTGACCCCATTTGTGCAGGCTCTGGCAAGCTCATGCAGTTGGCTCTTCCCCTTGAAATCTCCGAAGGTTGTCCCAATGATGCTTCGACCATCAAACAACTCCATTGGATGGAGAGGCAACAGCTCTGGAGTTGGATAAATTCCTACTACCACTGTCTTTCCCCATCCCTGTCATATCCAAAATCCTTACATGTCAGCATTATAGTGGAGCTTTTGTGTCGAAATCTGTCTCATTTCCCCATACATGTCTAAATAGGATGGTTGGAATCCAAAATCTCTCGTTAAAGCATCAAAGCTTACCATCGGAGACAAGCCAAACTAGTTCGAGAATACATTTAACAGTTTCACACAGAAAAAAAGAGTGAAATTAGAGCAATGAAATGCCATCTATGACTTACATCATGAGTGGACAAGAAGGCTTCTCGGAGAACATGCAAATTGCCTGCGCACTCAATGCTATAATCTACACCTCCACCAGTCATTTCCCTGATTCTCTGCAATACCATTTACTAGGATGGTTAATAATATTCACAAAATCAGCAATCAAAGCTGCAGAAACTCCATGTATTTTAGTTGCTAGTTAACCTGGTGCACTGGCTTTGAACCATCTTTTGGGTTTACAAAGTCTGTCATTCCCACCGCTTTGGCTGCAACCAGAACAAAAGAGGTAGCCATAAACCAGGCATGTTAGTTTTTTCCATTTAGTAGCTTCTTCTTGTCTCTCTCTCTCTCTTTTTTCGGAATTAGAAATATGAAGAACCAAAAAGAGAAAATGATATACCTTTATTTAACTTTTCTGGGTTGATATCAACACCTATTATTTTGGATGCTTCTCTGGCTCTAGCTCCTTCTGAAGCCTGTGAGAATTGAGTGAATACATTAATGACAATTGTATTTTTGTGCCGACAGATGACACAAGAATTTGAAGCAGACATGGCCAAAACTTTGCCACACTTGCATGCTCTAGTCATGTCTCTTGTGAGGTTAAAAAGAAAAAGGAAAAAGAAGCAAGAGAATTAATGGAAATGAACTTACAGCAAGTCCCAGGGCCCCCAAACCAAAAATTGCCACGCTTGATCCAGGTTGTACATTGGCAGTGTTCCATGCAGCTCCCACTCCTATCAAGTTCATCAGCATTTTAAGATGTCCAAGATCCAAAAATACACATCCAAAGTGAGTCTCCAAGAATTTTGTTATCTTACTAAAAGAAAAGTTAAAAATGCAAATTAATGTAACTTAGGTTTCAGTCAAAGACTATCCTATAAAGGAAAGGGAGGTGGTGGTGGTGGTGGAGATTTGGCTATAAGATCAAGGAAGGGCTTTACCAAAAGGGATTTTGGTTTTTCTTACCAGTAGAGACACCACAACTTAACAAGCTCATCTTCTTGAGGGGAGAATCAGGATCAATCTTGACAAGACAAGCAGAGTCAAGCACAGAATACTCGGTGAAAGTTGATGTGTTGAGAAAATGGAATATGGGCTCTCCATCCTTGGTAGAAAACCTACACTTTCCATCATGTTGCATTACACTCTTGAATGGGTTCACACGAAAAGTTTGGCAGAGATTCGTAGCCTTAGTTGTGCAGTAGGGACAATGGCCACATTCTCCGTTGAAGATTGGAATCACATGGTCACCTGCTTTAAGGTCTGTGACACCTTCACCCACACTCTCAACCAAGCTGCAAAATTTATCCAAGCCTCATTAAAATGGACATGAAACGTAGAAAACACAACATTGAATGATCAAATAGTACTAGGAACATGTCTTACCCAACAGCTTCATGGCCTAGAATTCGAGGAAACGCTCGCTGAGCTTCGTTCTTTAGAACAACAACAACGTCAGGAATTTTGTTGTGATTAGTACAGACAATTAAATTGAATCAACTTGGATAAAGATCAAGGTTTCTTAGAGTTATATATGTTACCTCGCCTTTCCAAGCGCTTAGATCAGTATGGCAGATTGAAGTGTAAAGGATCTTGATTCGGACCTCCATCTTCTTCGGGGGATCGACTCGAATTGTTTCCATAAGAAAAGGTTGTTTCGGACCTCGGACAACAGCAGCTTGAATATCACCACAACAACGAATGACCGAAAATGAATTAACGAAGCAAATTTGAATCTATCAGATCACACACAAAATATTAATCCCAGTTGCAATTCTTACCATTGCAAGTAATGACCTTCCCTGACGTCTCATTCGGATTGAACAACTTACTTTTCGTTGCATTATCGTGCAAACCGTGCGTCGATCCTAGCAACTTAACGAAGGTTTGAGGTGATTTTGAGTTATACCTAGGCAGGGATTGTGCCAATATTCTTCTTGCTTGAAGCAGCATTGCCATGTTTTGATGACTCTTGAAATGTTTGATACTAGCATGCATGGATATGTTTACATGCATGTACTTATAGTAGCTAGCTAGAAAGAGATGAGAAGGTGGTGTAATCTGAAAAGAAAGCAAACTAGCATCCTAAATTTGACACCGTGACTTTATATTTAGAAAAGTCTGAAGCCATTAATTCAACAAAAACTAGCATATTTGCTAATTATTGTTATAAAAAAAATAAAAGTCTCTGGCTAATTTTGTAGGGTACAAGATAAGGCTAAATTATCTGTCTGATGAGTGGGATTAGGAATTTACTACTTTTCATAATCTAAATTAATAGAGTCAAAAGTCCTTTCCAGCTATGTCAACAAAAGATCAACTTGCATAATACTGGCAAATTATTTATTTTGAGAATGACAGAATATTAGCATTAATTTGGGTTGAGTACTATAATATCTGTCTTGTATATATATATATAGCCAGTCAAAGGTAAACACCTCTTTGTATGTATATACCATTGCTGGTCTAATGTGTGTATACACACACCTAATTATATATATACACACCTAACTATGTTAATTTGGTTTTGTTATTTCAATTTTGGTTTTTTTTTTTCTTGTCATACCAATTTGACCTTAGCTTTTCGTTTTGGTCCCTACCTATTCACATGAATTTGATCTTTTTATTTCATTTTGGTCCCACCTAACCATACCAAATTTGACCTCATCTGTGGTGGCAGGCTTCATGTCACCTTCTAATCTTTTGGCCATGGCAGACACCTTACTGCCTATCAGCCTTTTGCTATGGCTATAGCTTTTTTTTTTTTTTTTGGGTAATACATCATTAATATATAATAAAACTAATTAATTAATTTTTATGGATAAATTCAACATGTACAAGAAAATGAAAAAGAGGCAAGTTGGCTAAATTAATTAATTTACTCAATTTATCCTCTAATTTATTAGCTAATTATCAATTGAGTCATTAAAAACTTTTATCAATTTTATCCAAAATATAGTCGATATTAGACACAGTCACATTTTCAACCATCCTCTGTCAATGGAAGTTAAGAAATTCTGTCCCGATATTAGACAATGTTCAGTACTGCTTCCATGAAGACATGAAAATAAGACCTAATTTATTCTATAGGACAAAATTAACACAAAATCACAATAAATTTCCTGCATTTTTTTTTATAAACTAATAAAAGTAGTGCTTTTATTATATTTTATTAAGATAAAAGACAACTCGGAGACAACAAAGCACTAGACTTTCAAAAACAAACTGCAAAAATAAACTCTCTAGCAAAATCTACGGTTGTCGTTTTCAAATATAATCCATATAGATAATATTTGCTAAGATAGAAATATTATAATTTATCTCTTAGTAGTTGTTATTACCTATTACTAGAGAGTCCTAATTCTATACTACTTGTAATATTATAAAAGGATAAACGAGATCCTAATCATAATACAATACGAGAAAATTTATCAACTCCCGAATCCCTTGTGTTTCAACTTATTTTGATGCTAATAGTTGTCTTGTAGGATAGATTAGGGTTAATTTTGATGCTTTGGATGAAAATAATTAATGATTACATGCAAATTATATAAAAATTGAACGAAAATTTTTAATTAACTAATATAATGCATCCCAAATACTTAAAAATAGGTATTTAAACAATTTGAAAATTTTCTCAAAAATAAGTTTTAATGTTCCTAAAATTTTAAAACAACTTTCTCACTCGATATAATGCATCCCAAATATTTAGAAATATCTAAAGAATAATTAACTAAATTATTCAAAAAAATTTATTCTTGAAATTCCTTATGTAAACGTCAAACATATTGTTATAGTAAAATTCTTTAAAATAATTCATATTATCACTTTTACTTAATATATATATATATATATTTTACAGGAGTTACAAAAGTATCACTAGCAATGCAATAACGGAAAGATAACATCAGCCCATGTTGATTTCAAATGAAAAGGTTTTGGAACTCATTTGATAACATAATAATATATTACTTTGGTACACTAAATAAACAATAATCTTAAAATTAAATCATGCCTGAATCACTGTTAAAATGCAAACCGTTGATATCCATCTCTAATTATATAAAAAATGATAAGTAATAAAATTTATTCAAGATTCTAAGATGAGACGGAAGTCGTAAAAAAGATTTCCTTCACATGCGAGTAGGCATTAGAGTGACGACACAGAATCTTAGTACAATCTTGTCTGTTTCAGCATTATTGTGAATTCTGACTTGTGATTTGGCTGCAAGAGTTCAGCTGCAGATACCAATTAAGTTCACTTCGTATATATATATAAGTTATGATATTACCATGGATTTGTAGTTTAGACAAAGAAGACAAAATTGATTATTAACAAACAACTTATCCAATTGTTGTATTGCATGTGAGAGATGTCAGGAGGTTCCATACAGTATGAGACTCTTACACTTGTAGAAGTTCGCGTCTTCAAATCTTTTTTTTTTTTTTTTGAGTCTAAAACAAAACTCATTATAAGAGAAGTCCAGAGCAGTTTTTCATCTTTATAATAATGATAGTAAATTCAATTTATCTTGATAATATGATTTTATTTCCTACTCCACTAACTATTAACTACTAATTACTAACACAATCGTCTAATATCTAACTATTGACTAAACTGCAGAGTTTTTATTTATGACAAAAATATATATATATATTATCCCACCCAAAATGGATGAGGAGACAATCACGAATTCTATTTTCAATAATTTTTTGTGGGA